GTAATCCCAGTTACTCGGGTGGCTGAGGCAGGAGAACTGCTTGAACCTGGGAGGTGGAGATTGCAGTGAGTTGGGATTGCACTCCAGCCTAGGTGACAGAGTGAGACTCCAACTCAAAAAAGAAAAAAAAAAGTGATTATGGATGAACCTTTCAGCAGCCCTAGTCCTTGTTCCCATCCAAAAAAAAATTTTTTTTTTTTTTTTGAGACAGAGTTTCGCTCTTGTTACCCAGGCTGGAGTGCAATGGCGCAATCTCAGCTCACCGCAACCTCCACCTCCTGGGTTCAGGCAATTCTCCTGCCTCAGCCTCCTGAGTAGCTGGGATTACAGGCACGCACCACCATGCCCAGCTAAATTTTTGTATTTTTAGTAGAGACGGGGTTTCACCACGTTGACCAGGATGGTCTCAATCTCTTGACCACGTGATCCACCCGCCTCAGCCTCCCAAAGTGCTGGGATTACAGGCTTGAGCCACCGCGCCCGGCCCCAAAAATATTTTTTATATGTGCCATTGCACTTGAACTAAGCTGCCATCTGGATCACAGCGTTGAGGTGACTTTCCCACTTCTGCTGGTACTGGCACTCACACATTTAAGTCTCCATGCCTGCAACAGTGCGGCTGACAGTAGGTGGCCTCTGCTCACTGCTGGCTGGCCACTGTCAGTGGATCATGTCCACCCAGTAAAGACTATGCTCCAAGGGTGGAGCCAAGGCTGTGTAGGAGCATGCACCTAACTTAAGGATGACATGTCAGAAATGGTCAATACACTAGAATCAGCAGACAAATGTTTCTCCAAGTGAATCAGGACTTAATAACTGATATTAGTGTCTGCTTGAAACACAAAGATTAAACCTATTCTGGAAGAACAAGGACTAGACAATTCTGTTTCTTAATGTCTGCTCTATTAATAATATTAAAGAACCTTCGAATGGAGCAGTAAGACTAACAGATTGTTGGAAAGAAGAAATGAATACATTTATTGTTTCCATAGACAGAAAGCAAGCTAGCAAGTATCAGCAGGCCCCAGAAATCACCGAGTCTTCTTTACCAGGCTGCATCACAGCACCTGCGGTTATTCTGAGAAACTCTTAAAATGACACTGAACAGAGACTCCTGTCAGGCATCTGTAATAGGCTATCTCCAAACACGCATTTGAGGAACATTAACCTGTGCCACATCTTGTCTGTGATTTAACATGTTCAGTTCACTAGGAAAAGGCAGCAGAAGGCACTTTGCTGGGATGAATTCACATACACTTGAAAACAAATGGTGGGACTCAGTGCAGGTGGGGAAATGACCAGCGTTGCCCAGCAGGAGGAAAGCTCTCCAAGGCTCCACTTGCCACTGCAGCAGGAGTACCTGAAGGCCAAGTAAATGCATCCCATTACTCTAGGCTCATGAACTGCCAGCAGGAATGAAAATGAAAAGCTTTGTGGGCAGCAATATGGCAATGTTTTTCAAAAACCTTAGACTTTTCCCATCTTAAAGGATCTACTAAAAGTTCACATCCACTAGTCCCATTTTCAGAAATGTAATATAAGAAAATAAAGATTTATGTATAGGATGTTCAATATCTATTTTTCAAAAACAATGAGAATAATCCAAACATTCAATAGGGATTGAACAGAGAAATGACTCCATGTACTTGTTTGAATTTTGTGCAGTCATTAAAAAAATGTTCTTAATGGCTATTTAATGGCATACTAGGATTTTAATATAACAACAAATGCAACATAAGAAAGAATGAGGCTAGGTGAGGTGGCTCACTGCTGTAATCCCCACTTTGGAAGGCCAAGGCGGGTGGATCACTTGAGGTCAGGAGTTTGAGAACAGCCTGGCCAACATGATGAAACTCCGTCTCTACTAAAATACAAAAATTAGCCCGGCATTGTGAGGTACACCTGTAATCCCAGCTACGTGGGAGGCTGAGGCTGGAGAATCGCTTGAACCTGGGAGGCAGAGGTTGCATTGAGGCAAGATCAGCCTGGGTGACAGAACAGGACTCTTATCTCAAAAAAAAAAAAGAATGAAAAGAAACACTCAAACATACATAGTGGTAATGCCTGGCAATAGGATTTTGAGTGATATTTATTTGCTTTATTCTTTCCCGTTTCCCAAAATTTCTCCCATGTGTTTTCATAATCAGAAAACATTTTGGTCGGGCACAGTGGCTCATGCCTGTAACCTCAGCACTTTGGGAGGCCAAGGCAGGTGGGTCACCTGAGGTCAGAAGTTCGAGACCAGACTGGCCAACATGGTGAAACCCTGTCTCTACTAAAAATACAAAAAATTAGCCAGGCGTGGTGGCAGACACCTATAGTTCCCGCTACTCAGGAGGCTGAGGCAGGAGAATAGCTTGAACCTGGGAGGTAAAGGTTGCAGTGAGCTGAGATCGTACCATTGCTCTCCAGCCTTGAGCAATAAGGGCAAAACTCTGTCTCAAAAAAAGGAAGAAGAAATGTTTGTCTTTTTATTTTTATTCTTTTTTTTTTTTAAAGAGATGGGATTTCACTGTGTTAGCCAGGATGGTCTCAATCTCCCGACCTCATGATCCACCTGCCTCAGCCTCCCAGGATGTTGGGATTACAGGCATGAGCCACAGCACCTGGCCTTGTCTTGTTTTTCAAAGGAAAAAATCCTGCAGTATAAAACAGGTTTAAGAGTTCTCTATCTACACAAAGGCAAGTGTGTACCTACCTGTGCCCCATACTGGGTTTCTGGTAGCTGAAGTGCACATCTCAGGAACTTATGTATGCACACTAATTTACTTGTGCTAAAAATCTCAACAGACGACTTCTGATGCACAATACCATCTGAGTGTAGCATCACAAAACACATCACTAAAGTGTACTAAAATAAGGTTATTTACTTAAAAATGATACATTGGACATAATCTGTATATAGAACAAAGAAAGTAATAGTAAACTTAGTAAGGCACCTTTGAAACCAGATGCTGTACAAAATACATTTAGTGTGTTACATATCAAAGACAAATCTATATTTTTGGTGTTTTACAATTGCATGATAAAACTGCTTGCTTTTACCCTTCTTTCAATGCCTATGTACAGTTTTCCCTAATGAAGCTATAATATACAATATATACTACATTTCAGTTTTTAAATGGGTCAGGACAAAGGTCACTAAAAGGGCTTAAATAATTCCCTAGAAAGCAGACTACAGAGCATAAGCTAAAATTATAAGATTTAATCCTTTGCAAGAGTCATATTCACATGCTTTCCTTATGGGACCATCATTACACGTGGCTTCATAGGATGCTGCCCTGGATTTTGGTTCTTATGAATGTGCCTTCTCCCTGCAGTTTCCACTGTGACTCGAGATGAACTGCGGCACTGCTATTTTAATGCCTGACTCAAGTCAGTAATAAATACAGCTACTTTCAACATTACGAGGGCTATCACAACTTTTTTGTTAAAATAAAAATCAGTATTTCTGCTGTTGAAATTATTTTAGATATTTAGAAACATTTCAAAACAACATCTATGGAAGTGTGTGTGAGTTTATAAAAGCTGCCCTGGAATAAATTATTCAATATCAATGTGGATCTTGGGCCAATTCAAAGATGCATGACTCTAAAAATTATAGTGCATTTTTGTTCTAAACAGAACAAAGCATCTGAAAAAAAGTATTGATTGAATAATCAGAATCTGGCATATTCTAGGAAAACATAATTTAAAAAAACTATAGGTCACTTTCTAAGTTTAGAAACACTTCTGGACACTGGAAAGGAAATGTAAAACAGTAAAACAACTTTTGTGAAAATATTTCCCAAGAAATCGGATTCAAGTTTTATACATCAGAAACTTGTTCGATAGGAAAGCACAGTAACAGCTTAGGATAAACAAACTGGAGCAAGCCCTAATGTGCCTTTAATCCTAGAGCTCTTTGCCAGCATAAAGAGAATTCACAAGGAGAATTCTCTTTGACGGTTAACGTTTGCTGTTTATAGTCAGGTAGTCCGGGGTTTTTGTTTGCTTTTATATTTTAATGATTTAAAGAGATATCTGAATGAAGCTACACATTTCAAAAACACTAAATTGCAAATGGGACCAAATAATGGCTTCCAGGGTTTTACAAATTTACTAACTATGGTACTACATAATACTTCTTGCTGGTCTATTCTTTAAATATTTCACTTACTCAATGAGCTTCAGATTTAAGAATAATGAGTGGAGAGACAAAAAAAAGTTTAATGCAACATTTTTAGATTTTTAAGATTCCAAAAATGGCAGATTTGCTTTTTAAAGAACATGTTATACCAGAAAATGTAGTTACTAAACAAGTTTCTAAGGTTAACTCTTGATACCACTTTTACTAGACCAAGTTAATTTTTAAAAACCGTAATAGTGGGCTCATGTACTGGCTGTAATTTTTTGCTTCCACATACCATCTGAACATTTCCAAGAATAAACTTTGCCTGTCATTATATATTTTATTAAGATAAATGATTTTAAAGACTTATGGTATCAAGTCAAAAGTAAACCAAGGTTAGTTTTAAGTAATTTGGATGTTCTAAGTGTGATCAAATCACATAGCAACTTAGATTAAAATATTTGTATTTCTCAGTATACAAATGGGGAAAAACTCTGAAAAAGTGTTATTGGGTATTAACCATATGCCAATTTATTTATTTTGATGAACACTTCAGACTTTAATTATGGTAGATGAACTTATTAAAAAATGGTTAAGGCAAGTTTCGAATTTGTGAAATTTGATGTACATACAAATTTGTAAGTTTTAGCCTTAAATGAAAGTCAAATTTTGGTAATGGGTGGACACATGCTAATTTCCTCCCGTTTAATTTGAACCTTTTTAACTATGTTGTGATATAATCACATTTATATTATAATCAAAGAAAATGATCTCACTTGATGTACCCATGAGTTGTATGCTCAGACTGAGATTGATATGTAAAAGACATTATAGACGTGTAATAAGTTCATGTAAACCAGAATTATTTCTTGAGATAACAAGGCATCTATAAAATATGTACCATTTTATTGAAGAACAGTTATACAGTGTAACTACAGATACTGACTAGATACTAAATATTTCTGCCTGATTTTTCATTGTCTTCACAAGTTAGGAAACAGAAATCAAAAAACAAAAAATCTCAAGACATATTTAACAGTTGATAAATTTATAACAGCTCTGACATATGAATTTCTAATTAGAGAATCCTTTCATTTAGAAAAACTGAGATGATATTACCCTAATGAAGTTTTTGCCTGAAGTTAACAAAGTCCTGGATTTGATGATATATTACTTTGAATGCATTAATTCTCAAAATTCATATTTAGTTCTACTTTATAACATTCCTTCCCTTAAGGATGGGATGTGAGGTACACATGAGCTGGCTTCTACAGTATGAATGTATGTACATATATAAAGTATGGTTATAAAGGAGTGGGTGATTTGCAAATAAAGCACATTATATACAAAATATAAATAACTTCCCTTTTAAAAGTTACTGAGAATAAAGAATACAGAGCATGGTTATAGGCACTTACATTGCTATCAAATGCAGGAATTCACTTCAGTAAGAAGTGCTTTCTTTGTAAGCATGGTTCATGGCATTGGAAATTCCAACTTTGGAGAGGATGCTTTCCATGACAAAAACAATAACTACCAAAAAAAATGGTGGTATAAGGAAAACAGTCCAGATTTATAGATGCTTTAAACGTCTTTTGGCCTTTGTATCCTTTCACGTTAAAAAATAAAGCTAGTGGGGAAGCTATCACTTTAAGGTAAATGGCTTGTATGAGATTGGCGAATCTTGGTCAGATATTGCAATTTTTAAAGCACAAAACCACCGGCCACCAATATCTTCCTGTGCATGCATATAAATTATTTTCTACTAATTCAGATGGCAGCAGAGGAATCCTGTCGTGCATGTGCATGCACACACACACATCATTAAGGAAGGCAGGACAAACTATCATAAACTGAGCAGTATCCCAAACACATCATCATCTATAGGCTGTTTTACAAAGGTAGAATACAAACGTGCTGAATATCTCAGGTAGAAGGCAAAGTCTGTTTCTCCATCTTTGCTGCGCTCATTTATCTTCTTAAGGCTTTCACAGAAAGCACTGTTTTATGAACAGGCAATTCAGTACCCAGAGATTGACTGGAGACATTAATCAGGATTGAAGTCTTGATGCAGTTCATAAAAACCCATTTTTAAAAAGGCATCAAAAACCACATTTAAAAGCTGTCCATATATAAAGAATGAAGTATTTAGAAGTTCCCAGCTTGTATTCTAAGAAGAGTACTGAAAGGTTTAATATTAGCAGCCTGTGAACACATAGTGAAGAGTCAGAGAACCAAGTTAACATCCTTATTTCACTCTAATTCCATCCATTCTATGGGTAAAAACATTTCTTGCAGTCTAGAGTTTCTCCTCCGGTGGTTTAACCATCAGATTTTTACATCTTGGGATTCAACCATCTTGGCAAGTGTCTTCTTGATTCTCAATGCTGTGAGTCTGGAGGCTGGATTGTGGGCCCAGCACTCTGACATTAGCTTCAAAACTGCGCGTAGACACTGAAACATAAAGAGAATGTAGTGAGCAGAGAATATTTTTGGTGGCATTTACCAATCACTTCTTCAGGAGACTGAGTTCCACTCACTTCATCACTGTTCCACCGATTAGACACAATTGGCCGCAAACGTTTGACACACACAACCTCACGCATATCTTCATATGACGGATCACTCGGTACCATGTTGTAATATGGCAATTGGTACTCTTCCACGATCCCTGTCAGGAAGAAAACATGGGCACAAAAATGATTGCTGGACAAAGTACACCAATCTATTAAGGATCTCTTGCTAAACTATAGAACTAAAACAGATTCTTAGACAAAAAAAACACAGACACGATGATTCACTCTTAATAGATCTATGTTTTCCTCTTATTTATGTCCAACTATTTCCCTACCTCCACTAGGGATGTCATCACATCTGTGATAGAGTCCTTCAACAAAGGGCATTCCAATCTTACTTAAAAGAAATATGCAGCTGGGCATGGTGGCTCATGCCTGTAATCCCAGCACTTTGGGAGGCCAACGCGGGTGAATCACGAGGTCAAGAGATTTAGACCATCCTGGTCAACATGGTGAAACCCCATCTCTACTAAAAATACAAAAAAGTTAGCCAGGCATGGTGGCGCATGCCTGTAGTCCCAGCTACTCGGGAGGCTGAGGCAGGAGAATCGCCTGAACCCACGAGGCGGAGGTTGCGGTGAGCTGAGATCGCGCCATTGCACTCCAGCCTAGGTAACAAGAGCGAAACTCCGTCTCAAAAAAAAAAAAAAAAAAAAAAAAGCAAGGTGAAATCAGTCATTTACCCTAAAGAATAATCTAATTATTTACTTACATGGTTGTTCCTACTAATGAATAGTTTTTATTATTTTGTTTCATTTTGCTCTGCAGTAGAAAGACTTAGGAGGTGTAGATAAAGGTTCACACAGCAAGTCTGAAACCTTCCCTTAGGAAAGGCCGGCTTGCAAGATTTGGCCTTGGCCAGTGCCTAGATACACGAATGGTAAACAGTTCCCTACATGGATGTAAAACTTCCCCAAAACAGTGAGGGTGGCTCACCACTCCTGGGCTGCTTGTGCAAACAATGTGGTGTGTACTGCACGTCTGGTTTCCTTGTGGAATTCCGGTACATGTCAGGCAGAGGACACCTATGTGACTACCCTCCAGTAAAGTCTCTGGGCGCCAAGTCTCTAAGGAGCTTCCCCAGATGAGAGAACACTTTGTATGTGTTGTCACAACTTGTGGGAGGAATGAAGCATACCCTGACTAAACAGGGCAGGACTCTGGGAAGCCTCACCTGGTTTTCTGACCTTGGCTGATTTTGATTTGTATCCTTTCACTGGGATAAATGTTAGCCATGGGGACAACCACATGCCGAGTCCTGAGCTCTTTCAAGTGAAATTACACAACTTGAGAGCAGTCTTGGAGACTCTGACATATGTGACATCTAAATTATGTAACTGCCAGCAATTGTACCCCTACATATATACCCAAACAAAGGAAATCAGCAAACCGAAGAGATGTCTGCACCCTCATGTTTGCTGCAGCACCCTCCACAAGATTTGGAAAAACCTAAGTGACCATCAACAGATGAACATACCAAGAAAACGTGGCACCTATAAACAATGGAGTATTCAGCCATAAAAAAGAAATGAAATTCTGTCTTCTGCAATAACATGGATGGAACTAGAGGTCATTATTTGAAGTAAACTAAGCCAGGGACAGAAAGACAAACTTTACATGTTCTCACTGATTTGTGAGATCTAAAAAGCAAAACAACTGAATTCATGGAAGAATAGAAGGATGGTTACCAGAGGTTGGGAAGGGTAGCAGGGGGCAGGGGGATGTTAAATGAGTACAAACAAAATGGAAGAATGAATGAGACCTGGTATTTGATAGCGTTAACAGTGGGGACTACAGTCAGTAATAACTTAATTGCACACTTAAAAATAACTCAAGGAGTATAACTGGTTGGTGAAACTCAGGATAAATGTTTGACGGGATAGATATCCAATTCTCCATGATGTGATTATTACACATGGCATGCCTGTACCAAAATATCCCCTTAACCCATAAATATATACACCTACTATGTGCCCACAAAAAATTAAAAAATAAGTTATATAACTGGAACTGTTATTTTTTAAATGATGAGTAAATAAATATAATGTGAAACTACTCAAACTCCTACCTCCTGTGATACAACGACGAGCCATCTCCCAAATGATCAGGCCAAAGCTGTAGATGTCAGCCATGATGTAGGGCTGGAAGTGGTTTTTGTTCAGGCTTTCATCCAGTACTTCTGGAGCCATGTAGCGTTTGGTGCCCACCCTGGTATTCAAAGGCACATCAACTTCATTTGTGTCACTGAAACAAAAGAAAGCCAATGTCCAAGTTGAGGGCCAAGAATAAAATAGTTGATCTTGTATTTTTGTCCCATTTTATAAATTCTTTCTCCTTGGGGCCAGAATTGTGGAATTTAGCATTTTTCAGATTTTCTTTCAATACATGCTACACACTACGTGATCCTCAGCAGGGTTGGGGCAGCACTCTTAATCAAACTCAAGTCCTTAGTACTGTGTCTGCAGCAAAACACTAAGTCCGATAGTCCTACTCAACTGGATAAAGACAATGCACACCTCACATCCATTCAGGTGAGGTTTTGTCACCAAATAAGTTTGATGCCTCTCTAGGAAATAGAACAACGCTGAATATAAGAGAAAGTAAGGCCAGGAGTGGTGGCTCATGCCTGTAATCTCAGGAATTTAGGAGGCCAAGGTGAGCAATCACCTGAGGTCAGGAGTTCAAGATCAGCCTGGCCAACATGGTGAAATCCCATCTCTCCTAAAAATACAAAAGTTAGCCAGGAGTGGTGGCACATGACTGTAATTCCAGCTACTTGGGAGGCTGAAGCACAAAAATTACTTGAACCTGGGAGGCGGAGACTGTACCACTGTACTCTAGCCTGGGGAACAGAGTGAGACTCTGTCTCAGGGGAAAAAAAAAAAAAAAGGTAATGTGTTAGATAATTATGTCTGAGAAGTAGTGAATAAGGAAATAAGAGGAATTGTTTGCTTTCCCCACTCTCGTATGATACACTCAGGCTTTGTGACACAGGATTACATTTTCTTCTTTGTGGGTCCAGTCAACTTAGTTCTGCTGTTAGCAATGCTCACATGATCATATTGACAATCAGTAATAATTACTCTAAAGCACTGATCAATATAATGTGTTGTATTTTATTATAGCATCTGATAAATATCTGGACCAACAGATACTACACTGACTCAGAACACTGTAACAGATTTAAATGTCTCTTATAGTTGTTTTAAAGACTGGTACTTTTATGTTATGGCCTAAAATGAATTCTGAAATGTATAGCAGCCACTCCATTCTACAATTACAAGATTAAAATAGTTTCAGTGGTTTCCTAAAAATTTGTAGTTTCTTTCTTTTCTTTTTTTTTTGAGACAGAGTCTTGCTCTGTTGACAGGCGCCAGGCTGGAGTGCAGTGGCACAATCGCGGCTCACTGCAACCTCTGCCTCCCGGGTTAAAGAAATTCTCCTGCCTCAGCCTCCCTAGTAGCTGGGACTACAGATGCACGCCACCACACCCAGCTAATTTTTGTATTTTTAGTAGAGACAGGGTATCACCATGTTGGCCAGGATGGTCTCGATCTCTTGCCCTGGTGATCCACCTGCCTCGGCCTCCCAAAGTGCTGGGATTACAGGCTTGAGCCACCGCGCCCGGCCAAAATTTGTAATTTCTAATTCTAACACTTGTATTTGCTTAAAAATACTGACATTATCAAGTGGTGATAGAAAAATAACATCCTTATCTCCACTGCTTATTGGTGTGCAAACTGAGGCACACTCTTGAAAGAAATATGGAACACACCATAGTCTAATATGCACAAACTTGCTGCCTCAGCAGGCCCTTCTCTAGGAATCCATCATGAATAAATACTTGTACAAGTGCACAAGGATCGAATATATAATATATGGATTAAATACAACAATGTTCATTAAACTTTCTAATAATCAACTGAAGGCACCTTTACTGTTCATCAGTTTGGTTTTAAGAATAAACTACAGTATCTCCATATATGGAATATTCTGCATCTGTTCAAAAGAATGAGGTAGATTTACATCAGCTGAAATAGAAGGATGGCTAAGACTATAGAACAGGAAATCTGGCCGGGCGTGGTGGCTCAAGCCTGTAATCGCAGCACTTTGGGAGGCCGAGGCGGGTGGATCACGAGGTCAAGAGATCAAGCCCATCCTGGTCAACATGGTGAAACCCCGTCTCTACTAAAAATACAAAAAATTAGCTAGGCATGGTGGCACACGCCTGTAATCCCAGCTACTCCCGAGAACTGCCTGAACCCAGGAGGCGGAGGTTGCGGTGAGCCAAGATCACACCATTGAACTCCAGCCTGGGTAAGAAGAGCAAAACTCCGTCTCAAAAAAACCAAAAAACAAAAAACAAAAAAAAAACCAACAACAACAACAAAAAAGAAATCTGGATGGGTGTGGTGGCTCACACCTGTAATCCCAGCCCTCGGAGGACTGGTGAGCCTAGGAGTTTGAGATCAACCTGGGCAACACAGCGAGACCCCATCTCTGCAAAAAATAAAAACATTAGATGAGTGTGATAGCGCATGCCTGTAGTTCTAGCTACTCGGGAAGCTGAGGTGGGAGGATTCCTTAAACCCATGAGGTTGAGGTTGCAATTGAGGTTGCAATGAGTTATGATCACTATACTGCATTCCAGCCTGGGCAACTGCATGAGACACCGTCTCAAAAAGCAAACAAACAAAAAGATATCAAGAATTATGTATAGGATTAGGAGAATGCAATTTTTTGTAGAAAGAACAAACCCCCAACTATATATTTATGTAACTAAAAATGAGCATGTGTACATTTTTAGAATTCCATTATCTTGAATACAAATAGGGAAATGTCTTTTGGAGATCAAAATACTTTCGAAACAGTAGGGCAAAGAACCACTCACCTGTTGAATTTAACAGCAAGGCCCAGGTCAGCAATACAGCAACTCCCATTTTTCTTGATGAGGATGTTTTTGCTCTTCAGGTCTCGATGAGCAATTGCAGGCTTTCCTTGGGTACCATAAATTTCTGTGTGCAGGTGGCACAGACCACAAGCAGCTGAATAAGCCAATTTGAGCAGGGCTCTGGTGTCCAGTGTAGCACATTTCAGGAAGTCATAGAGAGACCCATTTTCATGGTAATCAGTAATCAAATAGAGCTGAGTCCAGGAACCTGTACCTTTAATGTCTGCTGCTATGAAACCTGTCCAGTTGATGAGTTTAAAAGGTTAGTTAACATCAGAGATGGCCAGGGAAAAGTAATGCTCATTCTGGATACTGAGAACTACTTAGGTATCATGTGCAGATAATGAAACTTTAATTTGCCTGACATCAAGTCATAAATATGTCACTAAAAAATTTTATTTCTACAATTTACACATATAATTGTACTTCTATAATAAATTTATAAATCTTAATAATCATGAAAATGATAATATGACTAGAAAAAGATCACATATTCTGGGCATGGTGGTTCATGCCTGTAATCGCAGCACTTTGGGAGACTGAGGCAGGGAGATCACTTGAGGTCAGGAGTTCAAGACCAGCCTGGCCAACATGGTGAAACCCCGTCTCTACTAAAAATACAAAAAATTAGCTGGGCATGGTGGCGCATGCCTATAATCCCAGCTACTCAGGAGGCTGAGGCAGGAGAATTGCCTGAACCCAGGAGGCGGAGGCTGCAGTGAGCAGAGATCGCACCATTGCACTCCAGCCTGGGTAACAAGAGCAAAACTCCATCTCAAAAAAAAAAAAAAAAAAAAAAAAAAAAATTAGCTGGGTGTGATGGCATGTGCCTGAAGTCCCAACTACTCAGGAGGCTGAGGCAGGAGAATCACTTGAACCCCGGAGGAGAAGGTTACAGTGAGCTGAGACAGAGCCATTGCACTCCATCCTGGGCAACAGCGCAAGACTCGATCTCAAAAAAAAAAAAAAAAAAAAAAATCACATATACAAATAACCTGGAAAATATCATCAATCTACATGATTCTCTAGTGGAAAAGGCTCTCAATTTCAAAGCAAAAAGTGGACACTTAAATAAAGTTAAGAATGTTCAACCAAGAGTTAGCTCCTAATTAAGCCAATTCCCATTTGCCCATCAGTGACTCATCGCAGCTGCCTTTTCAGTCTGGCTCATTGACTGCCAGGTCCACGGTCCTGCTCTCTTTTCCTTTCTCTCCTACCCTCTTCCCTCCAGAAAAAGGTCAGTTAGTGCTATGCCCTGAGCTGAGCTGAATAGTGCTCCCCAACAAAATTCATGTCTAAAATCCATGTTACCTATAAATATAACCTTATTTGGAAAGAGGGTCTTTGCAGATGTAATCAAGTTAAGATGACCCATACAGAATAAGGGTGAGCCCGAATTCAGTGGCTGGTGATGTTATAAGGTGGAAATATGGACCCAGGCACCCAGGGAAGGCCACCTGATGACAGAAATGGAGACTGGAGTATTGTCTATAATCAGCCAAGGAACACCAAAAATTCCTGGCAACCACTGGTAGCCAGAAGAGGCAAGGAAGTTTCCACCCTAGAGTCCTCAGAGACAGAATGGCTCTGCCAACACCTTGGTTTTAAACTTCTAGCCTCGAAAACTGTGAGTTTTGGTTGCTGAAACCACCCAGTGTGTGGTTAATTGATAGAGCAGCTCTAGGAAACTAATACAGTTGCCTGCTTGGCAATGTGCTATGCACTCTCCAAATTAAAGGTAGGAAAACAGGAGACGAAGGGAAAAGAAAACTCAGGATAGCCAGATCGGTTTATGCATCTGACCAATCAGCTCATACCTACATTACTTTGCTACTGTGTAAATACGGAGGCTGGTGGGGGGAACACACATTAAACACAGAACATACAACGAAGCAGCATGTTGGGCTGTTGAGGTTACGAAAGGCAAAAGGCATATATGTTAATGTTACCCTAGACCACTGCTTAAATTATCTATAAAAGACTGGGTTTTCATTACTATGGGAGTAATCCAATAAACTAGTATTATTTTCCATTTGAAACTCACTGCTCTTTCTTCAGCTGGTTAGTAAAGAAAGTGCTTGGTTGGAATTCCGGACTGTGTTGTATTTAAATCGTGTATTCTGTCGGGCTTCCTTTAGCCAAATGTATATAGCTGAGCTCACACATGTTTTCAAAGCACATATGGAGGCTTCCACCTGCATCCCACTAGCCTTGTCAAACATGAAATTGACTGAATCAGTGTGTACCTACCAAGTATGTTTTCATGGCGCATTAGCACAGTTTGGTAGATTTCTGTTTCTCGAAACCAGCTGGCTTCTTCAGTGGTAAAAAATACTTTGACAGCCACTTTTTCGCCACGCCATTTACCCATCCATACCTCTCCATATCGGCCTTTACCAACTTGCCGGACCATCTGAATCTGTTTGGCAATAGTTCGCTGAACCTTTAAAGAGAAAAGTAACATGTTTGAGCTCTTGATGAACGAAACCCTTTAAGACTGGCAATGGGGTAGTTCATCTCATCAAAAAGCACGGTGTACCCAACCAACTCCAATTAAAAACTTAGAAGGTACTTTTTTTTTTTTTACATGGAGTCTTACTCTACCACCCAGTCTGGAGTGTAGTGGCGCAATCTTGGCTCACTGCAACCTTCACCTTCTGGGTTCAATTGATTCTTCTGCCTCAGCCTCCCAAGTAGCTGGGATTACAGGAACCCACCACCATGCGTGGCTAACTTTTTTTGTATTTTTAGTAGAGATGGGGTTTTGCCATGTTGGCCAGGCTGGTCTTGAACTCATGACCTCAGGTGATCTGCCCACCTCGGCCTCCTAAAGTGCTGGGATTACAGGCATGAGCCACTGTGCCTGGCCATAATGTACTTTAAAGCATGAAACAATGTACTGTGATATTATAAACAGGTTATTCAATGTGGCTGGCTGCAAAAATGGTGATAATAATTCCCTTCCCCTCCCACTGCATACAGCCATGGGTAGTCTTGGCCCACAGACTCAGAGCTTAGGCCACATAACTTGCTTTGGATAATAGAATAGCAAACGTGATGCAAGAAAAGACCTGACAAATGTTTGTGCACTGGAGCTTGCACTTTCCTGCTGCTTTGGGAACCGTGACCAATGAATAATGGCAGCATGAACTGCTGGCCATGCATGTAAACTGTACCACCTAGCTCTAGCTGAACAAATCTAACAAGTGGACTCCCCTGCAGACTCACAGACTCATGAGAAATAATTTTTGTTGCTTCAAGGCACTAAGTTTGGGGTAGTTTGTTATGCAGCAAGTCCAAATGACGGTTAAAAGATCTTAAAAATTCGGCCGGGCGTAGTGGCTCACACCTGTAATCCAAGCACTTTGGAGGCAAAGGCAGGCGGATCATCTGAGGTCGGGAGTTCAAGACCAGCCTGACCAACATGGTGAAACCCTGTCTTTATAAAAATAAAATTAAAAAAAAGAACTTAAAAATTCCATTTCTAAGACTCCACATGATCTGGCCTGTCCCTATTATTTCCTGTGACCACCTACCCGTAAACCTCTTGTTTGACTTATCTCAACTTTCAGAATTCACTCAAGCTTATTCCTGTCTCCGTGTCTTTTTGAATGTCCAGTTCCTATTTAGAGTGCTATTTTCTCACTTAAATACCTTCAAAGCACACACAACCTCTCAGTTGCTCCACTTAACACGATCATAACTTTATTCTTATTTACATATGTATTTGCTTGAATTCCATCCCCTGCTCACAGAATATAGGTATTTATTTGGGACAATATCAGAAGTACTTTAATATTTGTTAACTACAAGATGTACACGGACTGTTATCTTTCATTTTCGGAAGCATTAGTGATCATTCTAAATTAAAAAGAACGCTATATTCCAAGTTGGAAATGCTTCTAAAATAAACTAAATTTTGTGCAAACCTAAACTGACTTCATGTATCATTTATTATAGAATCCTTTTGAGAAAGAGTCTCGCTCTGCTGCCCAGGCTGAAGTGCAGAGGCACAATCTCAGCTCACAGTAACCTCTGCCTCCCAGGTTCAAGTGATTTCCTGCCTCAGCCTCCCGAGCAGCTGGGATTACAGGCATATGCCACCAAGCCTGGCTTATTTTTGTATTTTTAGTAGAGATGGGGTTTCACCATATGACCAGGCTGGTCTCACACTCCTGACCTCAAGTGATCTACCCGCCTCGGCCTGTAAGTTTTTTTTTTAAGTCAAGATTATTAGGTATAATTTATATAAAATGTACACTTTTTGAGAAAAGTACAAGCCTTAGTACAACAAATCTATATCATGTAATCACCAACACCACAAATAAAATACAGAACATTTTAATCATATAAAAAAATTCTCACTTTTTGGCGAGGTGCGGTAGCTCACGCCTGTAATCTCAGCACTTTGAGAGGCCAAGGTGGGTGGATCACCTGAGGCCAGGAGTTTGAAAGCAGCCTGGCCAACATGGCAAAACCCCGTCTCTACTAAAAAATTACGAAAATAAGCCAGGCGTGGTGGCACACGCCTGTAATCCCAGCTACTCGTGAGGCGAAGGCAGGAGAATCACTTTTGTGTAGCCTTTTGTGTCTGGCTTCTTTCATGTAGCATAAAATTCTTTTGAAATACACCCACTGCTGCTGCTACATGTGTTGGGAGTTGTTCCTTTTTACTGATGAGTAGTATTTCACTGTATGAATGTACCAGCATCTGTTTATTCATTTACCAATTCATGAGCTTTGGGGTTGTTTCCAGTTTATGTCTATTATAAATAAAACTGCTAAGAAAATTCACATTCAGGCCTCTGATGGGATAAGTTTTCATATCTCTTGGGTAAATAATTAGCAGAGGATTGCTTCATTGTAAATAGAGTATGCCCTTAACTTTCCAGACAATTGTCAAACTTTTTCAAAATGGCCATATCATTTTGCATTCCAGTCAGCAATGTATGAGATTTCTAGTTGATCTACATCTTTGTCAGCACTTAAAATTGTCAGTCTTAGCCATACTAGATGTGTAGTAGCATCTCATTATGCTTAATTTGCATATCTGCTGGTGCTGAGCATCTTTTGATGTGCTTTTTTGCCATTCTTATATCTTCTTTGGGGAAGTGTCTGTTCAAATACTTTGTCCATTTTTTTTAACTGGGAGTGTCGTATTGGAGTTGTAAACTATCTTTATATATTTTGCACAAAAACCCTGTATCAGATCTGTTTTGCCAATCTGATTTGTCTTCTCATTTTCTTAACAGTGTCTTCGAAATAGCAGTTTTAAATTTTGATAAAACCTGATTTATCATTTAAAAAAAATGATTCATGCTTTTCTTTCTTTCTTTTTTTTTTGAGACAGAGTTTCGCTCTTTTCACCCAGGCTGGAGTGCAATGGCGCGATCTCGGCTTACCGCAACCTCCGCCTCCTGGGTTCAGGCAATTCTCCTGCCTCAGCCTCCTGAGTAGCTGGGATTACAGGCATGCGCCACAGTGCCCAGCTAATTTTTTGTATTTTTAGTAGAGATGGGGTTTCACTATGTTGACCAGAATGGTCTTGATCTCTTGACCTCGTGATCCACCCGCCTCGGCCTCCCAAAGTGCTGGGATTACAGGCGTGAGCCACCGCGCCCGGCCTCATGCTTTCTATGTACTGAGAAGTCTGCCCAAACCAAGGTCACAATACTTTTTTTCAGACATTTTCTTTTAGAGGTTTTAAACTCTCTTGAAATGCTGCATTTCAAGTTAATTTTGCATATAGAGTGAGGAGGTAAGGGCTGAGATTAACTTTTTGATAAATGGATTCCTGATTTTTCCTGTACCATCTGTTAAATGGACTGCCTTTTTCCAATTGAATTACTTGGGTATCTTTGTTTAAAAAGAAACAAATCAATTAACCATTTAAGTGCACGTCCCTTTCTAAACTCTATAATCTGTTCCACTGATATACCCTTAAGTTAGTACCAAACTGTGATCATTATTGAGCTTTACGGTAAGTTCAGAAATCAGGTAGTGATTCCTTTGTTCTTCTACTTAAAAATTGTTTTGGCTCTTCTAGTCCTTTGCATTTCCATGTACGTGTTAGAATAAACATTAATTTATATAAAAGTTGGCTCTTATTTTAATTTGGATTTAAATGAGATTACAACCAATTTGAGAAAAACTGAAATCTTAATACTAAGTCCTCAGATTTATAAACATCTCCATTTATTTAGGGCTTTACTGATTTCTAGCAATGTTTTATAATTTTCAGTGTGCAGGTCTTACATAAACTTTGTTAGGCTTATTCTAAATATCTCATGATTTTTGATGCTATTTTAAATGATACTGTTTTTTAAATTTCTTAATTGTTGCTAGTGCATATAAACTCAATGACATTTATATAATGATTCTGTATTCTGAAACCTGATAAACTCAATTACCGGCTGTAGTAGTTTTATTCTATCATTCTTGGGATTTTCTACATAAACAATCATGTCTGCATATGAAGGCAGTTTTACTTTCACCTTTCCAATTCAATTTGAGTTATTTAATAAGATAAATTATAAAATTAGGATCAGGTTGGGTGCGGTGGCTCACATGTCTAATCCTAGCACTTTAGGAGCCAAGGTAGGAGGGTCGCTTCAGCCCAGGAGTTTGAGACCAGCCAGGCCAACATGGCGAAACCCTACCTCTGCCAAAACACACACATACACACACACACAGACACACACACACACACACGTTAGCCAGGTGTGGTGGTGCATCGGGTAATCCCAGCTACTTTGGAGGCTGAGATGAGTATTGCTTGAACCTGGGAAGCAGTGGTTGCTGTGAGCCAAGACTGAGCCACTGCACTCCAGCCTGAGCAACAGAGCAAGACTGTCTCAATAAAATAAAAACAAAACAAAATAAAATGAAATTAGAAGAGACAGTTTCTTTCAACTAATACCATTAAAAACTAAAACCTATCTGGATATCTAGTGTTCATAATACAGGTCCTCTCAAATAAGAGTTCCCTCAACCCATAAATCTGAGTATTTCTGTATATAAATGAACCTGCTGGGATGGATTATCTTTTTCCCCTGCTACCAAGAATCACTCTAACTCTGTTGGAATTTATTTGCAATCCCTTAAAAAATTATTTTTATTGAACTATGTTTTGGTAATAGTTTTTTTATTTTTAACTGAACTGTATCTTGGTAAAACACATTGAATATGTTTTGGTAGTATACTGAGAGAAGTATTCTCTCTAAGAATATCTGTTGAAGAAGCTTCTTTTTTATTTCAGAATCTGAAATAGTTACAGTTCCCTCAATCAATCAGTATAACCTTATAGATGCAAGAAATCTTATATCTGATTCATCTTTAAGTTGGCTGGTAAAATGCTTAGAGCAAATCTTGTGAGCTAACTCTTGCCCTTCATACAGAACTTCATGATCTAACTTTCCCTGCCCTCTCTACAGGACTTGATTCCTAATATTGTTTATAGCTCTATCTTACTTGCCTATTGTATTTTTCTTGGTTTGTATTTCTTATTTTTTAACTAATTTCACCTTGCAATACTGCATGCCTCTTTGTAAATAAGGAGAAAAAAATGTGTCCAGTATTGTTCCCTGATCTGCAGTAATTATGCTGTCCAGCAACATGAGGACACATTTTAAATTAACACACCGTTCATATTTACATGAACTTTCAACTTACCAATAAAGGTAGTCCAGACCCACTACCAGAACTTTGTGACTGATCAATAAGGTCTTTTAGTGATTCTCCAACTGGAATAAATGCTTCATCCTGTTCCAAATCACGATTGTAACGACGTCTGCTTGAGATGCTCTTGCAATAATGTCTTTTAAAAAAGCAAAAAACAATCTATATTAAAAATCAAAAACTATAGAACCCTAAGGTAAGAAAAATCTTGACGTTCTCTACACAGTTACCCTTCCTTCAGACAGAATCCTACCCAAATTAGCCTTATCAGTGGATAATATATACTGGTAAATACATCTAGAAATGGAGTTTAAGTTCTATGTATCATACTAAAATGGAAAAATGTCTATGCTGTATTGGTACATAAAAAGAAACTATCAAAATCAGATATGAAGTGTTATCCTAGCTATAAAAAATATACAACTTCAAAAAAATCACAATATAATGTTCTCTACATTCCAACCCAAACCTTGAAGTCCTATTTTCACACTTTTGCCAACTTGACAGATATGAAATGCCTTCTTTTTTTTTTTTGAGACGGAGTTTCGCTCGTTACCCAGGCTGGAGTGCAATGGTGCGATCTCGGCTCACCACAACCTCCACCTCCTGGGTTCAGGCAATTATCCTGCCTCAGCCTCCTGAGCAGCTAGGATTACAGGCATGCGCCACCATGCCCAGCTAATTTTTTGTATTTTTAGTAGAGATGGGGTTTCACCATGTTGACCAGGATGGTCTCGATCTCTTGACCTCCTGATCCACCTGCCTCGGCCTCCCAAAGTGCTGGGATTACAGGTGTGGAGACCCCGCGCCTGGTGAAATGCCTTCTTTTAATGTGCTTTTCTCTGGTTACTAGCGAAATTGAACTTTTTTCCCACAGTTCAGTTTTTTTCTGTGAACTGCCTGTTAATATTTTTAACAAACACATGTGTTTGAGAATCTAGCTGTATTGCCCAGGCTGGAGTGCAGTGGGACGATCTCAGCTCACTGCAACCTCTGCCTCTCAGGCTCAAGCGATCCTCCCACCTCAGCCTCCTGAATCGCTGGGACTACAAGTGTGTACCACCATGCCCAGCTAATTTTTTTTTTTTTTTGTATTTTTAATAGAGATGGGATTTCGCTATGTTGCCCACGATGGTCCTGAATTACTAAGCTCAAGCGATCTGCTATGTTGGCCTCCCAAAGTGCTGAGATTATAGCCATGAGACACTGTGACTGACCAACCTATTCATGTTTATTGCACATTATTCAACCGAACTGTCCCCTGAACTCTTTTCCTCACTGATTTGTAGAAGTTAATCTGTACCAAATCTTGACAATGTGTTTCAACGATCAACTCAGTCTGTGATTGTCACAGCATTCTCTTTAAGGCATTTTTGTCAGTTTTTAAATTTTAGTATAGACGAATTAATCTTTTCTCTTTTCTCCTGGGATCAGGAGTTGATTCTAGCACAGGAGTTCGAGAAGAGACTAGCCTGGGCTCAAAGCAATCCTCCTGCCTCAGCCTCCCAAAGTGCTGTGATTATAAGATTACAGGTGTGACTCACTATGCCTGGCCTGGTTTTAACATATGGATTCTCTCATTTAGTCATATGATCCATTCAGAATTTATAATATATAATGGAAATTAAGAAACAAAGTATTTTCCATGTAAATAGCCCAATGTGCTTAACCATTTTTAAAATAATTTTATTTTAAAAATTTATAGGGGTAACTGACTCAAATGGTTTAAAATTCAAAAGGCACAAGAGAGTATATGGCAAAAAAAAAAATCTTCCTCCCAGCTCTATCCCTAAGCTATAAAGTTCACTTCCTTAGAAGTGAACTATTTCCCTGTTTCCTTAGAAACAGAAGTACTTCCGGTTTCTCTGGTAATTTTCTGGAGACCACTGATGCCATTCTGCACCTTGCTTCTTACCTGGGAAATCATTTCACAGAAGTACATGAAGTATCACCCTTTTCTTTAATGACTAGATAGTATTCCACTGTATGGCTGCTAAGCATTCACCTACCGGTTATTTATTTACTTACTTACTTAGAGGAGTCTCGCTCTGTCACCCAGGCTGCAGTGCAATGGCACAATCATGGCTCACTGCAACCTCCACCTCCCGGGTTCAAGCAATTCTCCCTGCCTCAGCCACTTGAGTAGCTGGGTTTACAGGTGCCTGTCACCACGCCCTGCTGATTTTTGTATTTTTTTAGTAGAGATGGGGTTTCACCATGTTGGCCAGGCTGGTCTTGTACTCCTTGACCTCAGGTGACCCACCCATTTCGCCTCCCAAAGTGCTGGGATTATAGGCATGAGCCATTGCACCCAGCCACCTACTAGTAATATTTAGACTGTTTCTAGTCTTATTGCATGGGAGTGTGAAATACAATTTTCTACCATATCTGCAGTAGGAATTACTGAATTTGGAACTTTGATGGAGTGCCCTGCTGACCTCCTTAAAGGCTGCACCAGTTGGAAACTCTCTACCAACTTATGAGAGTGCCTGCTTTCCCTACACCTTTATCCCTACCCTTGTGTTATAAACTTTTAGAACTCAGTTTTAAACTTTTATCTAATTTTATATTTACAGAACTGAATATTTAATCTTATCAACATCTTTACTCACCTACCCTTGAATGTCATACAGTTCTCCATGGCTTGGCAACAAAAAAGCAGTCCCTTTGTCTCATCCTCCCATCCATTTTTCACTTCTTAGAATAAAAAATTATGACTTTTTGAAGCTTATTTAATATTTACCTCATTCTTTTTTTTTTTTCTGAGAAGGAGTCTTGCTCTGCCACCTAGGCTGGAGTGCAGTGGTGTGATCTCAGCTCACTGTGCAACCTCCGCCTCCCAGGTTTGAGCAATTCTTGGGACCCCCAAGTAGCTGCAACTATAGGCACATGCCACCATACTAGGCTAATTTTTGTATTTTTAGTAGGGTTGGGGTTCCGCTAGTTGGCCATGCTGGTCTCGACCTCCTGATCTCAAGTGATCCACCCACCTCAGTCTCCCAAATTGCTGGGATTACAGGAGCCAGCCAGCACACCTGGCCCTCATTATTTCTAAATGGCATCCTTACATTTGACATTTTAAGTTTTTCAGTCTTAGGCTTTAACTACTGACCTTACACTGAATATTTATAAACTTTAACTGTTGACCTTACACTAAATGAATATGACAATTTAAGTGTTCATTTAACACGCTGAGGCTTCCCAAGATAGAAATACTTCCATTCTCACATTCTCCCGACACAGTTAGATTATTTGTTTAGCTCAACATTCAGTGCTTGCATTGTTATGACTACATAAACTCTATCCACATGTGGCCCTCGCTGTATATAACATGACTATTGTTTTCTTTCCTGCACGCCCTCTTTCCCGCTTCCTAGAGCACAGGCAAAGATCCACTACTTTGGAGGGAGAAGCAGCAGCAAAGTATTTCTGCCTCTTGGGAATGTGGAGGAAATGCTCCCTGTGCCCTGACCAGGTTAAGATCTTCTGATGCTGAGAAAGAGGAGAAGATGACACCTTTCTCTCTCCTTGTGGGCATAGGATCCTACAGCAGGACCACATAGAGGTCAGCTACCTCTGCAGGAGGAGGTGCAGGAGCCCTGAGGAAGCTGCCCTCTTAAGTTCTAGTAACACAGAACCTACCTAAGGACATCAGGCATGCCCCCTCACTTTCCACCTGTCCTCTAATGTGAATAACACGCAACAGCAGATGACCTCTGCGGGAGGAGCAAGAACATGAACTGTGACTCCCACAGAGGTACAACCATGTGTAAGAGCTGAAAGCTAGGGGGGAAGCAGGAATTCAGAGAAAAACCCTTCCATCTGCACTCAAACCCCCACTCCAAGCAAATGAACTCCAAGCCCATCACTGAAGGAAGCTGAAACTTGTGTGGCATTGAAGGCCCAGACCCAAACACTGAACAAAACCCTAATCCAAATCTACTCCTGACTAGACTGAACACCTTCTGCTTATCAACAACCTAAGAGGAGGTGAGCCCATTTCAGGAGTATGTATTTATCTCAATGTCTGTTGTTCTTTTCAAAACTGATGTATAATAGTTGTACATATTTTGGGGGTACATGTGATACCTTGATGCGTGTATACAATTTAAAATGCACAAATCAGAGTAACTGGGATAGCCATTACCTCAAATATTTATCTTTTGGTAGGGAGGAGGAGACAGGGCCTTGCTCTGTCACTCAGGCTGGAGTTCAGTGGCGTGATCTTGGCTCACTGCAACCTCTGCTTCCTGGGCTCAATCTTCCCACCTCAGCCTCCCCAGATGTGGAGCAGCTGGGACCACAGATGTGCACCACCATGCCCCGCTAATCTTTTATTTTTTGTAGAGATGGGGTTGCCCAGGCAGTGTCTTTGTGTGGGGAATATTACAATTCTTCTCTTAAAGATGAGCAACTTTGAAATATACAATAAATTACTACTATTAGTAATTATATTTTTGTGCCCCATAATCAATGTGTCTTCATCCCCTCTCCCTCCAACCTTTCTACCCTCTGTTATCTGTTATTGTACTTACTACCTCTATGAGATCAACCTTTTAAGCTCCCACCTATGATTGAGAAAATGTAATATTTGTCTTTCTATGACTGGTTTATTTCACTTAACATAATGAACTCCAGTTCCATTCATGTTGCTGAAAATAACAGGATTTCATTATTTTTCTGGCTAATATTCCACTGTATAGATCACATTTACTTTATCTGATTCTACATCTTGGCCACTGTGAATAGTGCTTAAACACAGGGGTGTGGACAGGCCTTCAATATACTGATTTCCTTTTACATATATACCAAATAGCAGGATTGCGAGATCACATGGTAGTTCTAATTTTAGTTTTTTGAGGGACCTCTACACTGTTCTCCATAGTAGCTATCCCAATTTACATTTCCACCAGCAGTGTGCTCGTTTGGGTTCCCCTTTCTCCAGACCCTCCCCAGTATTTCTTTTTGATAACAGTCCTATTAAATGAGGTGAGGCTGATATCTCACTGTGACAATCTCTGCTATTCTTAACATGATGTACAATGTCCAAATAAAGTTATGAGACCCACTAAAAAGCAGGAAAATCACTCACTGCCAAGAGGGCAGGCAATCAAGCGGACTAGTCTCAGACAGCACTTG